TCCGACCCCCATGCTTTATTTTGCTCTGGGGTGAACAGCCACGCCTCCCCCCCCCCCGCGTTATCTGGCCCATGTGACCAGGGCCACAGTCTATTTATCTGGGATATTTCTCTGAACGTCTCTCCTACATGTTATATCGCACGGCCACTACATCGTTTGGTGTACGTTATTTTCCAGGGTTTCTACCTTGCCTCTTCATTACTGGTCTAATACTGTACTAGAAGGATACCCTCTAAGCGGGTCAGTCTAGATGATCTCAAGAGATCCCTAAGTGGTGGCAACTGGCTACCAGGATGCTTTCTGGGAAATCCTTGGTCTAAGGGAGTTTCTCAAAAGGAAAAGCATCTTTCCCCCTTCCTTATGTAATGGTTTTGAGATTTGGTTTTGGATCAGCATGACCTCAAACACATTCCTTCAACTTTTAATGATACCTAAATTCAGCCGATAAAAGGGAGGTTTGCGTCAACTGGAAGACAATGCGACCGGCAACACACTGTGCATGGGAGAAAGCGACACAGAGGTAAAAATACCCAGTTTGTCCTCAACTCACTTTACATCTTGTGTAACAAATTTATCTCCAGAGTTAACAGAATGACTACCATGCAATTTCTGTGCTTTCTGTTTAAAAGGAATATTTTAAAAAGTACTGCCTGGTTTTAGAAAAATAAACAGAGACACTTGCAAGCAACTGGGTACAATTTAATGTACAAGCTAAATTTATCATGGATCTTAAACAGGCATAACAATGGCTGCATAACTCAGTAAACCTCTAAATACCAGTGCTAGGAGGTAACATCAGGGGAAGATAGGGCTGCCAAGTGGGGGCGGGGGGCGGGTAACCCCCCGCTTTGGAGGCCCGATTTCCACCGCCGCGGAATCGGGCCCCGGGGGGGAACTCTGCCCCCCGAAGTGTAGCAACCACGTCAATCACATTCGAGGCGTGGCCCCGATCATTGGAGGGAAAACTCTATGGGGCCACGCTGTCGTGCGCATCGGAGGAGCGCTCCCGGAGCCCGGCGACGCTCCCCCGCTGGTAAGGAGATTTGACTTGGCAACCCTAGGGGAAGAAGAAGAGATTGGATTCATACCCCGCCGCCCTTCGCTACCCAAAGGAGTCTCAGCATGGTTTCCAATCCCTTTCCCTTCCCCTCCCCACAACAGACACCCTGTGAGGTCGGTGGGGCTGAGAGAGCTCTATTGAGAACTGCTCTTGAGAGGACAGCTCTGAGGGAACTGTAACTGACCCAAGGTTATGCCAGCAGCTGAATGTGGAGGAGTGGGGAATCAAACCCGGCTCTCTCTACTTGGCCTCTCTGCCTGGTCATTTGGACTTCCAAAGAAGCTGCTTGGCCACTGTGTGAGATAGGATGGTGGAATAGATGGACCACTGTTCTGATCCAGCAGGGCTCTTTTTACATTCTTATGATGGCCTTGACCCCATACATCCTGCTCTTGGTCTTCCAGAGGAACTGGTTGGCCACTGTGTGAAACGGGATGCTGGACTCGATGGACCACTGCTCTGATCCAGCAGGGTTCTTCTGATGTTCTTCTAAAGGCCTTGGCCTCTCTGCCCTGTTGTTGGCTCTCCAGAGGAACTGGCTGGGCACTGTGTGAGACAGGAGGGTGGACTAGATGGACCACTGGTCTGATCCAGCAGGGCTCTTCTGATGCTCTTATGAAGGCCTCGGCCTCTATGCCCTGTTGTTGGCTCTCCAGAAGGACTGGTTGGGGCCACTGTGTGAGGCAGGATCCTGGACTCGATGGACCACTGGTCTGATCCAGCAGGGCTCTTCTGATGTTCTTACGGAGGCCTCGGCCTCTCTGCCCTGTTGTTGGCCCTCCAGAGGACCTGGTTGGACACTGTGTCAGACAGGATGCTGGACTAGGTGGACTCCTGGTCTGATCCAGTAGGGCTCTTCTGATGTTCTTATGAAGGCCTCGGCCTCTCTGCCCTGTTGTTGGCCCTCCAGAGGAACTGCTTGGCCACTGTGTCAGACAGGGTGCTGGACTAGATGGACCACTGGTCTGATCCAGCAAGGCTCTTCTGATGTTCTTATGAAAGCCTCAGCCTCTGGGCCCTGTTGTTGGCCTTTCGGAGGAACTGGCTGGCCACTGTGTGATATGGGATGCTCGACTAGAGGGACCACTGTTCTGATCCAGCAGGGCTCTTCTGATGTTCTTCTGAAGGCCAGTGCCAGAGTCCACCCTTCAAAGCAGCCATTTTCTCCAGGGGGACCTGATCTTTGTTGCCTGGAATGCAATTCCAACAGAACTCCAGGTGTCCCCTGGATGTTGGCAACCTTAGGCATCCCATCCTCAGTGTTATGCCTTTTCTGGTAACATCCCACACCATGGTGACTCGAGTTGGTCTACCGTTGCAACCTCCAGGGGACGCCTGGAGACCTCCCGGAATCACATCGGATCCCCAGACCAATGTTCCCTCTAAGCTGTGGAGTCCCGTGAGCAAAAATTCTACCTTGTGAGCTACTGGCATTAAAGTTGGGAACAGGTGATTTGGCTACTGCATCATATAGTTTGCTCTGGTGCCGTCTTTCCTGAGCAAAGACAAAAATGTGTGAGCTGAGCTGGCTCACACTAACTCAGCTTAGAGGGGACACTGCCCCAGACCTAACAGATCATTTCCCCTGGAGAAAAATGCCCGCCTTGGAGGGTGGACAACATTATACCTTGCTGAGCTCCAGCCCTTCTCCAAACCCCGCCCTCCCACAAACAGATCTCCAGGAACCTCCCGGGCCAGAGTTGGCAACCTTCACTGGGTCCTAGCGCTTCTTGAAGGAAGGACATTTCCCCAGCATGCACCTGGGCCCCCTCCCCTCCCCCGTTGCCTTTCGGCATCCCCCCGTTGCCAGGACGCAGCACATCCCGCCCCATTCCCTCGGCTTCGGCTTGGCGGACGCCTCCCACGTGATTCTAGAAGCCGTGGCTCGCGATTGGTTCTCAGGCGCCACGTGGCTTTCGCGGCCGTTGGCGAGAACGCGGAGGGGAGGCGGGAGGGGCTGGGCGAAGCTCGTGTTGCTAGGAGACCGGAGCGCGGCCGGGGCCTGCTTCGCCGGGACGGCGGGGCGGGGGTCAGGTAGGGGCGGGATGCGGCGGCGGCGGCTGCCTGGGGGTGGGCACGGGGCTTGGTGGTGGTCCTCCCGGAGTGTTTCTCTTTACAATCACGGGTCGGTTTCCCAAAAGAAAGGCGCCGCTCTTTGCGAGAGCTTGCCCGCACTCTGCACATGGGCAGAGACCCTGTCGGTCCCCCCCCCAAGCTTTCCCCTTTTCTCGGGAATTTCTGCCATCCTCCTCCCGACTATGTTGCTGTGTCTCTGCGTTTTAAAGGAGCTTCACCTGCTGGATTTCTTCCTGGGGGGTGTGTGTCAGTGTTCCCTCTAAGCTGAGTGAGTGTGAGCCAGCTCACAGCTGTTTAGCCCTCGGCTCACGCATTTTCTGTCTCAGCTCAGGAAGGGAGGGCTCCAGAGCAAACTGATTTATGCAGCAGCCAAATTGGCTCGCTCACCACTTTAATGCCAGGAGCTCACAAAGTAGAATTTTTGCTTACACGACTCCACAGCCAGTGTTCCCTCTAAGGTGAGTGAGTGTGAGCCAGCTCACAGTTTTTTTGCCTCCGGCTCACACATTTTTGTCTTCGCTCAGGAAGGAGGGCTCCAGAGCAAACTGATTGATGCAGTAGCCAAATCGTTCGCTCACAACTTTAAGGCCAGTAGCTCACAAAGCAGAATTTTTGCTCACGAGACTCCACAGCTTAGAGGGAACATTGCTTCACAGGGAGCATGGGTGGTGGTCTGTGCCAGGGAATCTGGCCATGGAACTGGGTGGGCTTCTTCAGGGGCCAGCTATGGCCGGATTCACCATTAAGCAGACTAAGCACGTGCTTAGGGCACCGGGGCCAAAAAGGGCACCACAAAGTTGGGAAAAGGGTAAAAAGAAAAAAAGCACGAATGAAGATTTGTAAAAAATAAATGAATGATAAAATTGATAAAACTAGTGCAAATTGATCATGGTGCACCCTAGGGTTATCTTCTGTTTTTTGTTGGCGAGGTGCAGTGTCATAGGCTTAGTTTGTACAGTATATTGTGGGAGCATAGGAATACATATCTGTATTGCTGCAACCTGCATTGTATAGCTGGTCAGACAGGTCAACAACTAAAATGGACTGGGGGTCAGTGTGGAAAGGAGGGGGGCACCAAGATTGGTCAGTCCTTAGGGCACCAGTGAGCCTTCATCCGCCCCTGGGGCCGGCTCCTTCCCCAGGGAGGGTGTTGGGGCTGCTTGAAGACCATGCAAATACAAAGGGAGAATCCAGATTGACAGATGGCGGTGTTTCTCTCTCTCTTAGGAAAATAAACAGGAATTCTGTGCCATTTTTCAAAACCAGGTTGAGTTCAGGAAATTGGTTTCTTTAATTCGTGGAGGGAGCACTTGAAGAAGAAGAGATTGGATTGGTACCCCGCCCTTCACTCGGAGTCTCAGCGTGGCTTACAATCTCCCTTTCCATTCCCCTATCTGGTAACTCAGAAAGGGCTGAGAGAGCTCTTTCGAGGACTGCTCTTGAGAGAACAGCTCTGACAGAACTGTGGCTTGCCCAAGGTCATCCAGCAGCTGCAGGTGGAGGAGTGGGGAATCAAACCTGGTTCTCCCAGACTACCAGGGGACATTTCGTAGAAAAAGAGGTGCAGGAGCTCATTAGCATAACTTGTCAGCATAGCTCATTTGCATATGCCACACCCCCTGATATCACCGGAAGTGTGTCAGAAGGCAACACCCACCGCTCAGGCTCCACTGGACTGTTTTGGATTGCTAGCTATTGGGGGGGGACGTGCAGATCTGCCCTCACAGAGGAGGGAGCGCTTGTATCTGAAGGCGGGCCAGGGTGGGGGCTCTGCGACTTACCTGGCTGCTTCTTGCTCCTCGTGGCCCGACTGAGGGCTGCTGGGAGCAGGGGGTGGGGCTTGTTGCATGTGCCTGCCCCCTGGGCTCCTTACTGCCGGAGCTCCGCTCCTATGTGCTCCCGCAGCACCCTTAACCACTACTTCAAACTGACTTGAGAAAGGCTGAGAAGGGCTTGTTTTGTTAATGCGGTCGTTTTCAATTGTAAGCTGTGTGGAGCATCGGGTTCATTGCCGACTCTGCCTTGAGAAATTCCTGGAGATTTGGGAACACTCCCTGGGGGAGAGATTTCCATTTTATTTATTTACTTCTTTAGTTACATACATACATACAGACATTATTCATAGAACCAAATTTGAGTCCAGTGGCAATTTTAAGAACAACAAAGTTTTGTTCTGGGTATAAGAATTAAACTTTGTTGTACTGGGTGCCAGTGTTCCCTCTAAGCTGAGTTAGTGTGAGCTAGCTCACAGTTTTTTAGCCTCCAGCTGACACATTTTTGTCTTAGCTCAGGAAGGGATGGCTCCAGAGCAAACTAATCTATGCAGTAGCCAAATCGCTGGCTCACAACTTTAATGCCAGTAGTTCACAAAGTAGACGTTTCGCTCACAATACCCCCACAGCTTAGAGGAAGCATTGCTGGGTCTCCAGAATTGAACTTTGTTGGTTTTAAGGGTGCCACTAGACTCAAACTTCATCCTGTTGTTTCAGACTTGCCCAGCAACCCACATTATTCATAGTCTGGCTTTCTCACAGGGACTCAAGGTGAATTATGCATTATTGAGCCAGTACAATAGTGAAAATGGGGCATTCAGTTACCGGTGCGTTAGGATTTTCGAAGTCTGGAACCACCTGAAAGGAACTGAAGTGTGGCGTAAGTATTCACGGGACACATTAAGCGGTACAGAGATTACATAAGAGGATCCTAATTACAATGAGCTAAACACGGCAGTGTAGGGCTGTGGTGGCTCAAGTAGTTAAGACGCTGAGCTGCAGGCCGGAAGGTCGGTAGTTCAGTAGTTTGAGACCTGAGTGCCGTGTGACGGAGTGAGCTCCCATCTCTGGCCCCAGCTCCTGCCAACCTAGCAGTTCGAAAGCAAGAAATTGCAAGAAGATAAATAGGTACCACCTCGGTGGGAAGGAATTAGCCTTCCGTGTGCCTCGGTGTCTAGTCATGCTGGCCACATGACCACGGAAACCTCTCTGGACAGCGCTGGCTCTTCGGCTTGGAAACGGAGATGAGCACCGCATCCCTAGAGTCAGATTCGACTGCCTTTCGAGCAAGGGAAACCTTTACCTAAACACGGCAGTATAGACCACAGTCCTTAATCACTTCTCCAAGTAAGTTTGTAGAAAAGCTCTCCTAGACTCTATGGTATATCATAGAATCTGTCCTCCAAAGCTGCCACTTTCTGCAGGGAAACTGTCCTTTGTTGGCTGGAGATCAGTTGTAATTCTGCGAGAACTCCAGCCTCAACCGTACTCAAGCGGGACTCTGAAGGTTAGGGTTAGAAATGCTCTAAATAAATAGACTTTCTTTCTTAAGGAGGAAGTTTCAAAGCTCCCTCCTCGGTGACCCCAAACTGAGCACGACTGATAAAGACCGACAAAGTTGGGATCTCGCTTCCAGGTGCGTGCATCTCATGGGACAAATCTAGTAGTAATCCTAATCCCAATTTTAAGAGGTGTCCCGTCCCCCCTTCTCTCACTCAATGAGATAAACAGGAATCTTGTGGCATTTGGATGATCACCAGAACTTTAATCCGGTGTAAACCTTTCCTGCCCCCTTCAGAGGTAAGTCTTGGATCCTTGCCTGACCTCTTACGCAACCAGCCTGCCTAAGTCAGGAGGCGATCAGTACCTCTGAAGAAGTGGCCGTCGGAAGCTTTCTGATGGAATAAAACATTATTAGTTTATCAGGTGCAAAAGGAGACTGTGTTTTTGCAGCAGCGGACTAAGCTGATTGCTAAGCTGTGGGATTCTCTTTTGACCTGGGTGTCCGTCTGATCCACGCGTACCGGAGACAAGCTGGTTCAGTTCAGTCCAGAATGTCCCACAGGCTTGGGTTCTGATTCCCTCCCCAATTTTCTGGGTTTCTGCGCTGTGATGTTTGAATCAAGCAACTGAGGTTAACCTTCACTCCCAAGCAAAGGGTGGTTTGCACTCACAGAGAACCAGTTTGGTTTAGAGAATCAGTTTGGTGGTTAGGTGTGCAGACTCTAATCTGGGAGAACCGGGTTTGATTTCCTGCTCCTCCACGTGCAGCTGCTGGTGTGACCTTGGGTCAGTCACAGCTCTTTCAGAGCTGTTCTCTCAAGAGCAGTCCCCGAAAGAGCACTCTCAGCCTCACCTACCTCTTGAGGTGTTTGTTGTGGGGAGAAGAAGGGAAGGAGATGGTAAACTACTCTGAGACTCCTTTGGGTAATGAGGGGTGGGGTATAAATCCAATGTCCTCCTACTCCTCTTCCTTTTTCTTGACTTCAATTCTGAAGCAAGATGAGTTGAGAAACAAAAAAGATCTGAAGTGGGAATAAAATGACGGTATGCTCTATTGTGGAGCTGTGGTGGCTCAAGTGGTTAAGACGCTGAACTGCAGGCTCTGGAAGGTCAGTAGTTCAGCAGTTCGAGACCCGGATGCCTCATGATGGAGTGAGCTCCCGTCTCTAGTTCCAGCTCCTGCCAACCTAGCAGTTCGAAAGCAAGACATTGCAAGTAGATAAATAGGTACCACTTCGGTGGGAAGGGAACAGCGTTCCGTGCGCCTTGGTGTTTAGTCATGCTGGCCACATGACCATGGAAATGTCTTCGGACAGCGCTGGCTCTTCGGCTTTGAAACAGAGATGAGCACCGCAACCCTAGAGTCAGATTCGACTGGCTTTCGAGCAAGGGAACCTTTACCTTTTTACTTTATGCTCTATTGTAAACTATATACATTCATTCTTATTCTGCTACAGGTTCCTCTACTCTGAAATTCACTCTTAGCGTTCGATGATGGGTGACGTTCTAGCTTATGAAGCAGAGCTACTTGGAATGGTGAAGGAGGTGGGTGCTTAATTTTAAAGAGAGAAAAGCAGTTTCTTTAATGTTCATGGCGCTTTCTGGAAGGAGGCCGCAAAGTTCTGCCTGGTGACTCAGAACCCTTAGGCCTCGATGGCACCGTTTCATTGGTGCAATGAAGTATGATACCTACAAGGTAGGCCCAAACGAAAAATACCTGGCACTGGTATTCGGAGGCAGTAAGCTTCTGAATCCCAGTGCCAGGAGGCAACATCATTGAATCATAGAGTTGGAAGGGGGCTGTCATGACTCAGGTGGGGGTGTCACCTGACGCTGCCACCACTCTGGATTTAGGATCCCTTGAGAAGGCCCAGAGGACCCTCCCAAGACCTTCAGACCTCCCTTTTGGCCGAATAACAGGCGTCAGGACCAGGCAGAGTGAAACAAGGAAAATAGTTTATTTTATAGGAGGTCAAACAACAAGGTGCAGAATAATAGCAGTAAGTGGGTGAAAAGAAAAGAAATCAAATGCCCTAACGTGTCTAAATATATGCTGTCCCTAGCTCACTATTCCAAGTGACACTAGACTACTCACCCTTCCCTCAGAATGAGGATTTCTTCCCTCAGCAGCCTTCCTTCTGGCTCTGCCCTCTGGAAGAAAGAACAGCTTCTGCTCTGGCACCAGCCCTTTTGTTCCCCAGCCCTCTTCTTCCCTATTGGTCAATTTTGGCTCCAAAACTGCTCAGGGGCTTCTGGGAGTTGTAGGCCCAGGCTCACCTACTGCTAGCCAGGCTCCCTGGGCCTAGTAGGCTTCAGGTGACACAGCCCTGATCATAACAGGGCCTAGGGTTCCCAAGTCCGAGCGGCGCTCCGGGAGTGCGCGGACGCGTGCGCTGCAACCACATCATCCGGAAGTGACGCAACCACGCCGGATGACCCTCGGATGACCGTGGCCCCGCCCCCAGTGTGCCTGGCGTGGTCACATCACTTCCGGGTGACATGCACATCGCGTGCTTTGGGGGTGGGGTTCCCCCTGGGGCCCAATCTGCTGGCGGCGGGGAACGGGCCTCTGGGGTGGGGGTTTTCCCGCCCCCCGGGGGGACTTGGCAAGCCTAACAGGGCCCTACAGACCATCTAGTCCAACCCCCTGCCCATTGCAGGACCAGCCTAAAGCATCTCTGACAAATACCCGTCCCGCCTCTTCTTGAAAGCTGCCGGCGAAGGGGAGCTAAGCCACCTCCCTCGGCAGCCGATTCCACCTTTGAACCACTCTGACCGTGAAAAAGTGTTTCCTAATCTCCAGCCGATCCCTTCCTGCATGTCATTTAAACCCGTTGCTTCGGATCCTCTCCTCTGCTGCCAACTGCAACAGCTCCTTGCCCTCCTCCAAGCGACAGCCGTTCAAACATTTAAAGAGAGCAGTCAGAGGGAGGCCTCAGCCTCTATGCCCTGTTGCCGGACTTCTGGAGCAGCTGTTTGGCCATTGTGTGAGAATGTAGGGTTACCAGGTCCCCCCTGGTCACTGGTGGGGGATGGAGGGGTAGGGTTGCCATCTCCAGGTTGGGAAACTCCTGGATATTTGGGGGTGGAGCTTGGGTAGGACAGGGACCTCGGTGGGGTACAGTGCCAAAGAGTCTGCACTCCGGAGCATCCCATTTTCTCCAGGGGAACTGATCTGTGTAGTCTGGAGATGAGCCACAATTCCGGATGCTGGACTAGAGGGACCACTGGTCTGATCCAGCAGGGCTTTTCTGAGGTTCTTATGAAGGCCTTGGCCTCTGTGTCCTGTTGTTGGCCCTCCAGAGGAACTGGCTGGCCACTGTGTGAGGTAGGATGCTGGACTAGAGGGACCCCTGGTCTGATCCAGCAGGGCTCTTCTGAGGTTCTTATGAAGGCCCCGGCCTCTATGCCCTTTTGTGGGCCCTCCAGAGGAACTGGTTTGCCACTGTGCAAGAGAGGAAGCTGGACTAGGTGGGCCACTGGCCTGATCCGGCAGGGCTCTTCTGATGTTCTCTCTGTTTGCCAATAATGGTGAGGCCAGTTTTGATCAAAGGAAATCATTCAGAACCTTTGCAGTTTTTGTCCTGACTACCAATTGCTCAGTCCCTTGAAATGGGCATTATTATTCCTGATCTCCCCCGCCCTCAACCTCTTTATTTGCTTGCAGTATCTGGAGTTTGCGGAATTTGAGGATACCGTGAAGTCATTTACAAAGGAATGCAAAATAAAAGGGAAGCCGTTACCGAAAACAGGAGGTGGGTCTGTGAAAGACTCTAAGGCTGTTACCATCCAGGTAAACTCCCACCTGCAGGTTTATCTTTTTTCTAAAGATTGTACTTCTTGGTATTGCCTTCTCTATGCGTTTTGCTGTAGGCTTTGTCAGAGGATCTAATAAAACAAAGTTAAAAGAGATACAGTTACATCAATATTATATCAATTAGAATGAGCATACAAAATATTAATTGGGGAAATACTCTGAGCATGTTATAGGGAGATACTCCCTATACTCTGAGCATGTTATAGAGATACTCTGAGCATGTTATAGGGAACCTAACATATTCTCTAGTGTTAGAGACCCAGTTTGGTGTAGTGGTTAGGGCTGCAGACGTTAATCTAGGAAAACCGGGCTTGATTCCCCACGCCTCCACATGCAGCTGCTGGTGTGACCTTGGGTCAGTCACAAGTTCTCTCAGAAGCAGTCCTCGAAAGAGCTCTCTCAGCTCTACCTACCTCTCAGGGTGTCTGTTGTGGGGAGGGGAAGGAGATTGTAAACCGCTCTGAGACTCCTTCTGATAGTGAAGGGTGGGGTATAGATCCAATCTCCTCTTCTTCTAGGTATGTTCAGTTAGGTAGGTTCATTCTTATTGATGTAATTGTACCTGTTTTAACTTTGTCTTATCGCGAAACATTTTGGGATCCAAGAGGTCAAATAAACCGCTCTGCCTTTCACCTTTGCCTCCTTTTTTCCTCCTACCTGCCGGTGCGGCCTTATTTTCTTCCCAGTCGCTAGCGAGCCAGCTCTTGTGCAGTGTTAACGACAGTGCAAAGATGGAGATGGGTAGTTGTGTTTGTCTGTAGCAGTAGAAAAGAACATGAGTCCAGCAGGTGCACAAAGATTCTGCATTTTGGGGCACCAGAAGCGAGAGCTCAGCCAGCTCAATGGGCACATCAGCTCCTGACATTTTCACCAAGGTTATTTCCTCAGTTTTTGATTTGATTTATTAGACACTAGAGGTGTGCAGGAGCTGCGGTGGCTCAAGTGGTTAAGACGCTGAACTGCAGGCTGTGGAAGGTCAGTAGTTCAGCAGTTCGAGACCCGAGTGTGCCGCATGGTGGAGTGAGCTCCCGTCTCTAGTTCCAGCTCCTGCCAACCTAGCAGTACGAAAGCAAGAAATTGCAAGTAGATAAATAGGTACCGCTTCAGTGGGAAGGTAACAGCGTTCTGTGCGCTTTGGTGTTTAGTCACGCCGGCCACATGACCACGGAAACGTCTTCAGACAGCGCTGGCTCTTCGGCTTTGAAACGGAGATGAGCACCGCAACCCTAGAGTCGGACTCGACTGGCTTTCGAGCAAGGGAACCTTTACCTTTACCTTTTAGGGGTGTGCAAAAAAAAATAAAAATTCGGCCGATTCGGATTCGGCAGGATCGGGCAGAATCAATCTTGGCCGGCAGTAAGACTCCTGCATCTCAGTTTGGTCAGTAGGAGCCGATTCCGGAGTCTTTCGGCCACTCACGTCAATTTCAGCCCCATTATATCCTATGGGCCATTGAAGTCAATGGCAAAAACATAGGGTATATTCTGGGGGCTGGAGGAGAGGGGTTTTGAGGGAGAGGCTCCAAATTCACAGGGTAGCTGCTGGAGCCTCTCTCCATGATACCCACCAAGTTTCAAGAACATTGGACCAGGGGGTCCAATTCTACGGGCCCCCAAACAGGCTGTCCCCATCCCCTCCATTGTTCTCTATGTTGGGGAAAAAAGTTACTTTTCCCCCAGGGTGCTGTTAGTGACTCTGGGGGGGAGGGGGTTTGAGGGAGAGGCTCCATATTTTCAGAGTAGCTTCAGAAGCCTCTCCCCACATAAACCCCCATGTAACAAAGCAATTGGACCCGTGGGCTCAATTCTATGAGCACCCAAACAGGTTACTCCCATTACCTCCATTGTTTCCAGTGGGGAAATCCAGCCAGCAGGACTTAAGGCAGGCAAGCAGGCAGCACCCAGCAGTCAGACTCTCCCAGAGAATGTCAGGGAAAGTGAACTGTCTTGGGAGGTGCCTGTTTGCCATGAGAACAAGTGGCACACTCCAGAACAAGTGGCACTGTGGCAGTGCAAGCATGCCACAGTGCCACACAGAAACCCCAAAAGACCAACAGGAACAACATTTATACAGGCACTGCCCTGTGTAAATTGATGGTAGAACCAGAAGTCCAGGGAGGTAGCAGGTCAGGCCAGGGTAGAGTTGGGTAGAGTTGACTCTCTCTCCCCCCTCCCAAGCAAGGAAGGTGGTGTGCAAAGCAGCACCACAAACCATGCAGGCTGCACATGCGTGCAGCAATTGGCTGGAACTGGCCTCCCCCCCCGAAGCAAAACATAGAGGTAATTATCTTTGCTTAAGGCCGGACGCATAAATATAATCCCAGTGTCTGTTCCATGTGCCTTAATGCTTGTAAAATCCTCATTTTTAAAATAATGCTGATAACTTTATAGGTAAATAAAATTCTTTAATTTCAGGTCTTGTATTGTTAAACATGATGGATGCCCAAAATGAGCGCTTACTCTTGCCTTAGACCCAATGTGCGATAAACTAGATTATGCAGAGATGAGCTTTAAGACCGTAAAGAGGGAATTAATCATATACGTCTCTTCTTTTTGGAAGGATATGCTAGCATCCTTTACCGATGGTGACCAGGATGTCTTCTTTGAACTCTGGGAAGAGCACGTTCCTCCTTCAGTCCGGGACAACGAGGCCATCGCTCAGAAGCTGGAGTTCTACCTTCACATCCATTTTGCCATCATCCTCTTAAAACGTAGCGTGGGGGAGTCTCCTGGCTCATCTCCTTGTTACGTACGTACATTTGATTCTGTCTTAAATCAGCCACGCTGCTTTTTAAAAAATCTGCCTGTAATGATTCCATGTTTTGGTGTGTGTGTTCCTTTAAATGCTTAGTTTGAATGCAGTAATGTGAGAAGAGTGATAGAGGGTGACAAGTGTGATTTGATTGGCTGCTGACTGAGAGTGTGGGAGGAGGGGTGTCTGAGAGGATTCTGTGTGTGTGTCTATGAGGAGATTCTGTGATATGAGAGAGACAAGTATGGAAGAGTTCTGAAGAGAGTCTGTGTGACTCTAAGAGTTATGAAGGATTCTGTGTGTAAAGTTTGAAGAGTGAGCATAGTCTATGTGACTATGGAATTCTGAGTCTAATTCTGTGTGAATAAGACCAACAGTTTAGTCTGTGTGACTAAGAGAGTTGATTCTATTCAGTGTGAATAAAACAAAGAGACTGTGTGGCTATATATATGAGTGTATAAGCCTGTCAGAGTGGAGTTTGGAGTCTGAGAGACTGTTTGTGGCACCAAGTTTTGCCAGTTACATTTACAAGTTCCTTTCGGCAGCAGTTCAAAATAACCAGAAACCTATTTTGTTCCTTTTTTAAAAATTCAGTTTATTAATTTTTATAGTGAACAATGATACAGAAGATTAATTTTCCAGCAGTCTATTATATTATTCACCCCCTTTTATTAATAGAAACCTATTTTGTTCTTTATTAAATAAATCCATTTTTGTTTAAACTTATCCCAGAAATCAGTACAGTACTTCCTCAGGGCCACATAGTCCTCTGAAGTGCCCAGACCCTTTTTGGTCATACTACCAAAAGAGAGAGAATTGGAATTTTTAATCCCTGGTGGCAGCAGAAAACTACCAAGTTTATATACAGAGAGACTGTTTAAAGGTAAAACCGTTTCCCCGATAAGCAAGGACGTCACATTGCCTTGAACGACAGATGCGTTTCTGTGTCTGTGTACAGCCCGTTCGCGTCATGCCACCGCTTTTCAAGGAAGCTCTCAGTTCAGGGTTGCGGATTTGACCTTCCTCTTGAGGTGTCAGAACTGCGTCTGGGCCCTCCTGCTTCATGGTGCTGGTGGACGTTTAGAAGAGTGAATATTCCTCCGCATGCAAAAGTGCCCTCTGTGGAGGAAACTGGCATGTCAGACCAAACAGTTAAGAATGTATAGAATGTAATTAAGAGAACATAAGAACGTAAGAGAAGCCAATGTTGGATCAGGCCAGTGGGCCATCCAGTCCAACACTCTGTCACACAGTGGGCAAAAATACCAGGTGCCATCAGGAGGTCCAGCAGTGGGGGCAGGACACTAGGAGCCCTCCCACTGTTGCCCCCACCCCCCAGGCACCAAGAATACAGAGCATCCCTTGCCCCAGACTGAGAGTCTATAAGAACGTAAGAGAAGCCAATGTTGGATCAGGCCAGTGAGCACCAGCACCTTGAAACGGATCCGGAATTCGATAGGCAGCCAGTGCAGGTCGTGCAGCACCGGGCGGATGCGAGCCCACACAGGCGTCTCCGTCAACCCCCGTGCCGCCGCGTTCTGCACTAGGTGCGACTTCCGGAGCAGAGCCAAGGGCAGCCCCACGCAGAGAGAGCTACAGTAGTCCAGTCTGGAAGTGGCCATTGCACGGGTGGCTGTAGCTAGGTTTCGTGGGGTGAGATAAGGGGCCAACCACCTGATCTGCCTCAGATGAAAAAAGACCGACCCGGCAGTGGTGGCGACTTGGGCCTCTTCGCCCTCGACGTTGGCACCAGTGGAGCCCCATCGAAGGCTGGGAGCCTGATTCCCTGCCTCAGTCCCTGGCGGCTCAGGTGCGGGACCTCCGTCTTCGATGCATTTAGCTTCTTTCAGCTCTGGTCCAACCAGTGTTCCCTCTAGGCTGAGTTAGTGTGAGCCGGCTCGCAGTTTTCCAGCCTCCAGCTCACACTCCTTTGTCTGCGCTCAGGAAGGGACGGCTCCAGAGCAAACTGATTTACGCAGCACCCCGATCGCTCGCTCACAACTTGAATGCCAGCAGCTCACAAAGTAGAATCTTTGCTCACGAGACTCCACGGCTTAGAGGGAGCATTGGTCCCAACCATCCAGCCGGGGCCTGTAACGCCCCGTCCAGATCACGTGGGGCTGTGTTTGGGCAGCCGTCCATCAGTGTAAGTGTCCAGAGAGCGGCAGGGAAAACATTTGTGTGTTTTAGCAGTTTCTCATTCCAGTTTCCCTCCCTTTCCCCTTTCTCCAGTCCCTCTGGTTCCTGCACCCCTTCAAAAACAGGCCTCCTGGGCTTTGAGATACCGCTAACGCCTGAAGTTCTCTTCCTAAACATCTGGCAAGATGTTACAATTCCGCGCATTCGACAAGAGCTGGTCCTAAGTTTATTGTAGCGGCAAGGATGTGTATTGCAGCAAAATGGAAAGCAAAACAAGCTCCCACGATGGAAAACTGGTTAGCAAAAATCTGGGATATCTTCATAATGGAAAAGATCACAGAAAATATACACAGCAATACCACTCATATGCGAAATGGGAACCATTTATTGAATATGTCACAGCATCTGCCATTCAGCCACATAATCCGATCTGCCTTAAACTAATCTGTGTATAAGAAACACATAACTACCACCACCCCATACCAGTCAAATGGGTTCAACAAATACGTGAGAGATACCACACGCAAACTTGGAAGCCACAAGGAATCTAACGACAGATTGTAAGGGTCTAACATAAGTAATGCAAATGTAACAATGCATTATGTCAAATTACCCCGTTTGTAAGCTGCACTGCTATTACTCCATTCTTGTATAGTCTGTTGAAATACTAATAAAAATTATTTAAAAACAAAAAAACCAGCCCTCCTGCGAAGGAGCTGCCTCAAATACTTCTGTGCTATTCAGTCCATGCAAATGGATTCCCATATCCAACCAATCCAAAGCCTTTTATTGGCATGTAAATAAGGATTTGTTGTTGTTCAGTCGCACAGTCGAGTCTGACTCTTCACGGCCCCATGGACCAGATCACGCCAGGCCCTCCTGTCTTCCGCCGTCCTCTGAAGTTTGCTCAACTTCATGTTCGTTGCATCTATGACACTGTCTAACCATCTCACCCTTTGCCGTCCCCGTCTTCTTTGACCTTCAATCTTTCCCAGCATCAGGGTCTTCTCCAGTGAGTGCTCCCTTCTCATTGGGTGGCCAAAGTATTTGAGCTTCAGCTTCATTATCTGGCCTTCCAGGAAACAGTCAGGGTTGATTTCTTTTAGGACTGACTGATTTGATCTTCTTGCAGTCCAAGGGACTCTCAAGAGTCTTCTCCAGCACCATAGTTCGAAAGAATCTATTCTTCGGCGCTCAGCCTTCCTTATAGTCCAACTCTTGCAGCCATACATGACTACTGGGAATACCATTGCTTTGACCATGCGGACTTTTGTTGGCAGGGTGCTGTCTCTACTTTTTATCATGCTGTTTAGGTTTGCCATCGCTTTCCTCCCAAGGAGCAGGCGTCTTTTAATTTCATGGCTGCTGTCACAGTTTGCGGTGATCTGGGATCCCAGGAACGTGAAGTCTGTCACTGCTTCCACGACTTCCCCTTCTATTTGCCAAGGAGTGATGGGGCCGGATGCCATGATCAATTTTTTTTTTATTTTGAGCTTCAATAAATAAGGATACAGTAATCTAAATACAAAATCATGCAGAGTAAAATTAAAATTGCATAGTAACATCATAATAAAACCTAATTCATAATATCACTTATCAGGCCGTAGGACCGTGGCGCTGCAGAGAAACTTTGCTACTATTTCAGTTATTTCTGTATCTGGATTCATATCAATTGGGTTCCGATATATGCCGGATTCTGCGTAACAGTTGCCGTTGCTTCCCAGGCGACAGTAGTCTAAATACAAAACCATGCAGAGTAAAATTAAAATTGCATAGTAACATCAGAGAGTAACATCATAATAAAACCTAATTCATAATATCACTTATCAGGCCGTAGGACCATGGCGCTGCAGAGAAACTTTGCTACTATTTCAGTTATTTATTTTATTTCCTTCAGTTTGTATCCCGCTCACCCCCTTAGGACTCAGCGGCTTGCATGTTTCAATTAACACAAATTTCTGTATCCGGATTCATATAAATTGGGTTCCGATATATGCTGGATTCTGCGTAACAGTTGTCGTTGCTTCCCAGGCAGCTGACGTCTTTCTTCTCCTGCCCTTAGAACAAAGCAGCGTCGGACGACTGTCCATCTCGGAGACCTTTGTGGTGGGTTGTGTCCTGGTTGGTCATAAGAACATAAGAGGAGCCCTGCTGGATCAGACCAGTGGCCAATCAGTTCCTCTGGACAACCAACAACAGGGCAGAGAGGCCGAGGCCTTCCTAAAAACATAAGAGGAGCCCTGCTGGATCAGACCAGTGGTCCTTCTAGTCCAGCATCCTGTCTCACTCAGTGGCCATCCAGTTCCTCTGGAGGTCGTACAAAAGGGTAGAGAGGCCAAGGCCTTCATAAGAACCTCAGAAGAGCCCTGCTAGATCTGAGAAATATTTCCTCCTCCATCTCGGAGACCTTTGTGGTGGGTTGTGTCCCGGTTGGTCATAAGAACATAAGAAGAGCCCTGCTGGATCAGACCAGTGGCCAACCAGTTCCTCTGGACAACCAACAACAGGGCAGAGAGGCTGAGGCCTTCCTAAAAACATAAGAGGAGCCCTGCTGGATCAGACCAGTGGTCCTTCTAGTCCAGCATCCTGTCTCACTCAGTGGCCATCCAGTTCCTCTGGAGGGCCAACAACATGGCAGAGAGGCCGAGGCATTCCCATGGTAAGAACCTCAAAAGAGCACTGCTGGATCTGACACTGGTTGGGCCCTGTGTGAGACAGACCAGTTCCTCTGGAGGTCCAACAACTAGGCATAGAGGCCGAGGCCTTCATAAGAACATCAGAAGAGCCCTGCTGGATCAGACCAGTGAGGGTCCCTCTAGTCCAGCCTCCTGTCTCACACAGTGGCCTACCAGCACCTCTGGAGGGCCAACAACAGGGCAGAGAGGTTGAGGCTTTCCCCTGATGTTTCCTCCTGGCTCTGGGATTCAGAGGATTAGTGCCTCTGAATATGGAAGTTCCTTTTACTTCCCATGGCTACTAGCCAGTGATAGACATCTCTTCCATGTTTAATCCCCTTTTAAAGCCATCTGTGGCTGTGGTCAACATGATTATACTCCTTTGGCTTCCATGACCAATCTATAGCTGCGATCACACATTCCACTTTCATTGCACTTTGAAATTGGATTTTGCCAGTTTGCACAGTAAAATCCAGTTGGAAAGTGTATTGAAAGTGGATTGTTCAGTGTGTGTGATTGCAGGCAGTGTTTCTGCAACCTGTGTTAACATAGCAGTAATTCCCTTTACAGAAAGCTGTCCGAATTCTCCTGATTTCCACGTATATCTCTTTTTTAAAGACGTTATGTGCAGTTTTGACTTCCCCGGTGACTGGTAAATAATTGTAATGTAATGTTATACATAACTGTGTGTTAAGTAAACGGCGGCTGCCTTTTGTTTTATCTTTCCCAGGATTCCTGGGAGTCCGATCTAAAGACGAGGCTGGAAGATTTCCTGTCTGCCACGCTGAAAGCCAGCAATACCCCGAGACTGCTGACGCTCTATGTATCCTTTTCGAAATGCTGCGAAGGCCATTCCATTGCAGTGATTTCTTTACGACCGGTATAATTCTCCTTGGCTGCGTTTGTCTCTTTGTAACATTATGCAGTTCTCTGACTTCCCCTCCGCAACCCTGCAAAGCAGCCACCTTCAAAGAGAAATAATTGGGTGGCGATTGAGGAACGCGGCTGCCCCCCCCCCTTCGATCTTTCGGAGGCAGCTGAGGATGGTTTTATTTAGGACTCCGTTTGATTAAAGGAATCCTAAATTGTGATTTTTAGAGTTCTTGTTGCTCTATATTTTTATGTACTCTAGTTTATGTATTCATGGACAAAAGGGACGAAAGAAAGGGGTGGTGGTGGAACCCTGAAACCTGGGATCCAGAGCCTAAAAAAATAACTCAAACAGAATAGAGGGCCAACAATAAAAACTTAATATATATAATATGAAAAGATACATATATTTATTAACAAAGGAAGAAGAAAAGATTGGATTTATACCCCGCCCTTCACTACCCGAAGGTGTCTCAGAGCAGCTTACAAACTCCTTTCTCTTCCCCTTCCCACAACAGACACTCTGTGAGGTAGGCGGGGCTGAGAGAGCTCTTTCGAGAACTGCTCATGAGAGAAAGCTCTGAGAGAACTTGTGCCTGACCCAAGGGCACCCAGCTGGCTGCATGTGGAGGAAGAAGAAGATCGAAGAGATTGGATTTATACCCCGCCCTTCACTACCCAAGGTTGTCTCAGAGTGGCTTATAATCTTCTTTCCCTTCCCCTCCCTACAACAGACACCCTGTGAGGTAGGTGTGGCTGAGAGAAACTGCTCTTTTTTCAAGAGCAGCTCTGACTCTACGGCTTGCCCAAGGTCATCCAGCAGCTGCAAGTGGAGGCGTGGGGAATCCAACCCGGTTCTCCCAGATTAGAATCCGCGTGCTTAACCACTACACCGAACTGGATTAAAAAGCATCTAAGGGGCCAGTCACACCTCATGTAAAAATGCCAAAATTTAGCACACATGGGCCAACGGACTTGACCTGACACGTTTCGACCTGTATAGGCCTTCAGAGGTCAGACATAATGAGGAGCGTATTGGCTTATATCATAGTACAATACAATCATACCCTTCTGTAACACAGATACAAAACAGACTAGAAAGTAATTGCTGTAAAAATAGAAAAATGTAAAATTACATATAATAAAACGAATAAATAAATACTACCTATATTCTACTAAAAAACATATTGACTGACTTCCAAAATGAAACCACTAGGCACAGAATAAGAAGTAAAAACGAGGCCTCCAAAGATGCAATCCCATTCATGGACAAAAGGACCAGGCCAGTTTGCCCGGGGACCCTGGAGGTCTTTTGCCCTCATCTGGGCATGGAACAGTGGTCACTAGGGGTGTGTGTGTTGGGGGAAGGCATTTGTGAATTTCCTGCATCGTGCAGGGGGTTGGACTAGATGACCCGAGAGGGTCCCTTCCGGCTCTATGATTCTTGAGATCCGCAAGGAAGAAAGGTGGCTAATGTTTTAAATAGTCAATTTGCAGGAGAGAAGCAGCGGCTGATCTTTAAAGAGGCCGACTGCCCAGTTCTGCTGTTTAAAAACTCGACTGCCTGTCGGGATTGTGTTAAAAGTTTCCGGAGTGGCCGCTTCCCTCAAGCCTCAGAGGAAAGAAAGCAGTTAAATAGGCAGTGTTTCAAAACGTTTGACCCTTACCTGCTTGTTTATACCAGTTTGCCATCAATTAGAGTGGTTTACAGCTGAGTGGCTTTTGCTTGAGAATGCTGTCTCTGGGCGAGCACTCGGTTGGCAAGGCAGATGGCAGCCGTTGTCTGATGGAATTTTCTATTTCCCGGCTTCTTAAGCCTTGTTTACATGCTCGGGAATAAGCCAGTATTTCATTATGTCCATCACAGAATTCTGTAAATGTTCCTCCCGCTTTAGGGAAGGGGCCGCAGCTCAGCTTCAGGACGCAGGGTTGATATAAGGTCTCGGGTTCGTCACCCGGCATCTCCAGCTGAAAGAATTTCAAGTAGCAGGGCTGGCGACTGTCCCTGCCTGGACTTTGGAACGCTCCTGCTAGTCAGCTGGCTGGTGGTAGGTTAGAGAGCCAGCATAGGGGAGAGGGTCAGATTAGATTGGGAGGGGTGCAGTTTGTGTGTATTTTAAGAACATAAGTAGAGTCCAGATGGATCAGACCAGTGGTCCATCTAGCCCAGCATCCTGTCTCACACAGAGGCCAACCAGTTCCTCTGGACAGGCAACAACAGGGCATAGAGGCTGAGGCCTTCCCTTGATAAGAACATCAGAAGAGCCCTCCTGGATCAGACCAGTGGTCCATCTAGTCCAGCCTCCTTTCTCACACAGTGGCCAGCTAGTTCCTCTGGACAGCCAACAACAGGGCAGAGAGGCCGAGGCCTTCATAAGGGCATCAGAAGAGCCCTGCTGGATCAGACCAGTGGTCCATCTAGTCCAGCATCCAGTCTCACACAGTGGCCAACCAGGTCCTCTGGAGGGCCAACAACAGGGCAGAGAGGCCGAGGCCTCCGTAAGAACATCAGAAGAGCCCTGCTGGATCAGACCAGGGGTCCACCTAGTCCAGCATCCCGTCTCACACAGTGGCCAACCAGTTCCTCTGGAAGACCAAGAACAGGACGTATGGGGCCAAGGCCATCATAAGAACGTAAAAAGAGCCCTCCTGGATCAGACCAGTGCTCCATCTAGCCCAGCATCCTGTCTCACGCAGGGGCCAACCAGTATCTCTGGACAGCAAATAACAGGACAGAGAGGCCGAAGCCTTCATAAGAA